GAGGTCATATACGCGGAATGGTACGGCACCCGCACGCATTGTAAACGTACTCACTTGCGATATCATAAAAATCGCATACGATTTAGCGTACGGCGTCATTGGCAAATTTAATCTAGGATTAAGGCTTTTCAACATACATCATTGTATACTTCCCCTATTCTAATTGGTTTGGTCTTGAGGTACCGGTATCATTCTTCAAATAACAAAACCGTTTCTCCATGATTGTTTACAGAACAAGGTCTATGTCTACCTGCATGTTGCAAACCGTTTCCCATGCTACTTATGGGATAACTTCTTTGTCACTTTTCTTACAGGCCCAGTACCGATTCATTATAGGCACATTTTAATCAAGCAAATTGTATGTCAATATTTAGATGATGCGCAACCAGGCTTTTAAGAAAGAAGGAGTACAATAGAACGTTCTCGGAATTCTTTCAGAAAAATGTCGAGATCAGCATTTGCCTGTCTTATTTTATTGCTTTGCAGGAGTCATTTGATCGGGTCTGTCACAAAACGCCTTGGTTGCCTATATGCAATTTTAGGGACCATTCCCAGACCCTATCGTACTAACTGTGGATCTATCTCCAAGGGCATTCTTGCTAAATTGCAATCAACTTAAGCGCCTTAGAAGTCTGTCAGGTCTACTGAAGCTGCTAGGAGGTAATAAATTATTGTTTAGCAGCTTTTTTAGGTGTGCCAGACATCTAAGCCGCTTAAACTGAAAGCAATTTAGCGAGAAAACCCCTTGAATTGGATCGATTATGTTAGATTGATCTAGGTATGGGAACCCAGTCATAGAATTATTGTTAAAAATCCTATCAAATATCCCTGTGAACAATTTATTACTTGTCAGCGATATAGAAAACCCAGCAATCGGTTTCTGTCGAAAGTGTGTTTTAGGCAATTGCAAGGGTGTGTGGTTTCGCCATATATATGTTTAAGCTATTCCTGGAATTCATCATCACTGGTTTATCACAACTTTTAAGGTAATTTTCAAAGCTGCATCATAAACCCTGCACAAAAATTGAAAATGAATATTAAGCAACGGTGGTGTATTACTTATTTTTCAACCCTTGGGTATCCACGCTAATTCTATTCCCTTTTCTAAATCGGATCAGTTTAAGTTACACAGCACTTCGGACACAATGCTCTTTCGATATATAAATTACGTCCCCGGCGCTTCGTTTATATAGTCGAGCTGCCACTCCTATAGGCCCAATAGTCGAGCCCTGCAACTCAACTACTAGGGGTTTTTCGCCCTCACTAAGCAATTGTTAAATGTCAAACAACGATGATGTCAGTTTAAGAGTATGACTAACAGAAAATCACAATGGACAGTAAAATCAAAGGCGGAGGTGGTATTAATAAGACTATTTATACCAGTATTATACTGATATTGCGCCTCTTCGGTACCTTCTGCTGTTTGTTTTGGTGGACATTTTGATTTTTAGTGACAGTAAAATGCTTATAGATTAAATGTAGTCAATTATCCCAATGTAATTAGGCAGTAACAAATGCTTAGAGAGCAATGGGGATATAGCTAATGAACAAACCAAATAGTTGTACTAAAACCACAAATTCCAGACTGGGAGACGGTTACATCTGTGGGATGAGTCACTGACAGTACTCTAGCATGAATTAAGCAGCAGTGACAATTCTAAGAACAAAATCAAAATATTTCTGCTGTAGGCTTTATGAATAATTGATCTTTCCAAAGTTGTTATTCTGCGGCGGAGGACTCCCCCGGGACATTCTGCCCTGCAACGCCGGGAAATGTAATTAGAATGGATTGAAACGAACGTTAATGTAACCTGCCGCGGTTCTGGTGAGGGTTTAAGAACTTGTTCACGTCTTTTATCTTTATCCGATCTGAGTTGGACTGTGTAACGTTTTATGGGCCATTATGGTCACTCATCATCAGAACTGTGGACTTGATTTCAGTCTTTGCTTTCATGACACCTAGCTAGCTACAAAGACGTTTTAAACCGGTCCCAAACTAGCCGAAGTTTAATCTGTCCAAGGTAAATGATTTTGCAACATGTTACCTAAACTGGCGCGGTGTATTACTGTTATAATTAATTAAATTGTCGGCGATATGGTACAGAGGCTGTACATATTTCCCTCCAATGCACGTTTACCCCGCGTGCAGTGTAGTACCTGGCAGTCTGTCACATTGGAAATGGTTATTGATAGATTTTAAGTATCCCATGCAAATGCCTTGAAAAACATTTTTATACATTTTTATTTTATTAAAATGATTTTTGAGAGTCTTTGATGAATAAATAGTTCAAACGAGGAAGATTTATTGAGGTTTCCGTACGTCACAGTGTAGGGGAGACCGGGGCTAGTTGGCCCACCCGCACGAAAACGAAGTAGATACTCCGGCGCAGTAGACTACTGCAATCATACTGCAAACATGCTTCAAATCTGCTTCGATTTGGGAGCTAATTAGCATATTTGAAACATGCTTCTATCATGCTGCATATCTACTGCATTAATGCTCCCCCTCTGTACAACCCTATGTAAATTTTGAAGTAGAATTGCAGTAGGCTATACTGCATTTCTACTGCAAATATGCTCCACACCACTACTGCGTTAATGCTTCTTTGCTACTTCGATACTACTGCATTTTTGTGCGGGCAGTTAGACACTTTTGGCCTTGTAGAGCCAACTAGGAGTGGGTTAGAGTAACAAAACCGGTTTCAAAGTAAGCCCCATGAACTAAGCTACGTACGCAACGTCATTATTTTTCGAATATAATGCCAGGTAGCTCACAATTTGACAAAAAACGCAGTTGATGTCAAGGGGGCCAACTTGCCCCGCCATGGAAAATTTTCTATAAAGTCCGGATAGGAAATTGGACCATAATCCCAAAGGGTCATCTAGGACGTCGTGAGAACTCTTTATGAAACTGTCCCAAAATCCTATAGGGTCTCATAGGGCATATGTCCTACATAGGAACCCTATAGGACGCCCGAAAAAATTACCATAGAGTTCCAAAGAACACTTTAAGATTCCCATCGAGTTCCAAAGAGTCCTATAGGACGTCCTATGAAAAATGTTCATAAGTGTACTCATATCGCCACCAGAGCTGCCTGTGGCGTCGACATGCATTCTCAATTATAAAACATTCTGTGTAGTTAAGCAGCATCAATAATTCTGATGAAATCAATAGTTTGAGCCATTGGGATGCGTCGGCAGTGACGGATTGGATCTAGATTGCATAGGCGAATTATTTAGGGAGGAGGAATGAAGTATATTGCTATTATTTGTAAATGTAAAAGGTCGATGCTGTCTGGGAAGGCTACGATTAGTGTTTCTCTTTACAGCGGTCCGTTTCGTTTCTACAGTGGTTAATATTTTGAACTCAGATACCAGTTTTTTCACCAATAGATTTATTTTGTAACGTTTATAGACCTCCAGCGCTTTATACACATGTAACACCAATATAATGTACTACAACGTTTGCCCATGTACAGTAAATGGGGGTACTCTCCTCCCCATTTTCATCAACCGCCCCTAGGACAAGAAGCCGGTGCGGCTGGTGTGTAACATATTCTGGCCTTTTGTCATCGGTTAGTCAACGTGTTAAATCCTCATCACGTGGGGAAGTATATATGTATATATATTATAGCTGGTTCACTGCACTGTAAACGAAGTCAGCATTTGTACTATTCATCGAACATATTGTATTAGCTGAGATCTACTTTTCATAAACACAACTGGATTTTAAATATGGCGTACAACCTGTCACACCTAAAGCAGTGCCTATGTTACTATTCGAAAATGGAACAGATCTCAAATGGACAAATGAATGGACAGTGTATATTACAATATGCCATGTAAATGTAGAGCACACTTCTTCTTCGATCTCCATCTTTGTCTTTTCTGTGCACCGTGCAGTAACAATTTTCTATACAGTTACTTTCCTTTTGTTTCTTAGGCCTTCCTCTACTTGACGTCGCGTGACGAGACCCCCGTCCTTGCAATGGAGGCGATATGAGGGGGGGGGGGGTCCTCGCCATTCTTGGTGGTGGCAGTTAAATAGTTTTTTGTAGCCCTGCTTGCCAAATCTCTCGCCTTTTATTACTTGTGCGTTTCAAGTCCTTAAAATCATCTCAAAAAGGTACATACATACATAGATGCGCATGTACTTTGCATATCCTAATTTGTCCTCTTCTGATTGTTTTACAAAGAAAATATGATTCTATGAACAGGCATACATGTATATTTTTACATTGTTTTTTTCAAAGAAAAATCAAAGAATAAATAACACACCACACACACACACACACACGCACACACACACGTCTATGTGGTTTCTGTCCAAAATTCTCTAACTTCGTATAACACAGCTTTCCAAACTTGGAATATGGCGTTTCACATGATGCAATTTCGGCAACTCACTCGTCAGTGACCTAGATCTGTCATTTTCTGCATATTCTAGGAGGTTGAGCTCCCACACACAGTAAAATTAAAATTATAGGTGAACCGAGTAACTACATACATGTGCAGTGCATTGTTTTTCTTCGTCCCAATAGTGCCCATGAAATATTGCACAGGTAATAAGCTTTTAATTAACTTAACCTTGTCCGCTGAGACTTAATAAGACACAAGATGTAGCTTCACCTAATGTCCGAGTTGCTAAAAAAATTACCGATATATATATTTTATTGATATTTCAGTCTTTCCATTTCGTCAACAGTATTGTCTGCTCAGAGCGAAGTATTAAAGGACAAATCATCAACGTTTATATTACGAAAAAAATAGGAGGAGCATTTACACAGAGACAGGATTTTCTAACTTTGGGGACAATTGAGCGTCCCAGCTATAGTTTTGGGTGTAATGGAGAGTCACGAAGGTAGAAGCCTCTATGTGAAGGAAGCCTTAGAACAAAAGTCTGTGGGACGCGACTTCTCTGGATGGGAGTGCGTTATGATGAAGTAGTTATTAATTGAATGTATTCAACGTTTCATTTCTTTCAGTTTATATGAACTCACCTCTGAGCGGGTGTGCCGTGCTGGGTTCGCAGTCGTCGTGGCCATGGCCGTCCTCTATCCACGTACAGTTTACAAACAAACCAGCGTGAGCCTTGGCTGAAGACAAAATATCAAAACAGTATTAACAACCTGCACCTCTGATATTTCAACCCACTGATCGTTTGGACGAGTGGGCCTCCAAACACTACAAATACTACAATGTAATCAAAAGTAAATAGTCAGACGGATAATGGAAAAAATTAGCTGAAGAAGACGCTGAAATTACCATTTGTTCTATCAGACTAACTTAAAAATCTACGTGGTACCTTTCCATACAAACGGCATTTGGCTGCAGCATCCAGCAGTTTCCCTTACTCATCAAGACAAACCTTATCCAAACCGATAACAAAATTAAGATATGCAAAATAGATTTTGAGGTACACCTTTCTAATTTTCGAAACACTCTCGTATTGAAGTTGGAGACTGGTAAATTTCACTATTTCAGAATTTTAGAGCAGGTATATTTCTCAATAGTTGGGATCTATATACTTTGGCGATTAAGAGGAAACCGATTATTGAAATTGTTGACTATACAAAGGTCTAATGCATATTGGAGGCCTTTAACAATAACTGCACATTAGTAGTACGACTCTAAAACACATTAGTAGTACGACTCTAAAACACATTAGTAGTACGACTCTAAAACACATTAGTAGTACGACTCTAAAACTACCAACCAATTGCCACAAACCAGTGGCTAACGTCCCGTACTCCTTTAAGGATTTACATTATACTTGTGTGTAAAAATAACACCTATGTGCTCTTCACTAAAACAAGATTGAAAATATATAAAAGTGTTTTTAAAAATATAGATTGATATCGGTTAAGTGCTTCATTTTGTATGGCAATGTGTAAATAAACTAGAAAACAGCAGATATTTTACTTTTATAACGAAACGCGCATGAAAAGAAAAACTTTGACGAGAGGCGCACTGCATAAAGTGAATGAGTGGATTTCCTTTCAAAATATGCTGCTAGACATATCTTGGGTATTTTCGTGCTCGCTGACATAGCGCTTTAAGAATTATAAACTCCGACTGTATCTAACCTGTACTTAACATGTGGAGGGGGCCCGGACTATACTAGTATGTATATAAAACTATACATTGTCTTTCTATAAAAAGCGACGATTGCAGACCCAATTTTATAAATATAGTATCAGAAGCTCATGTTTTCTTGCGCTTATACGGTAAAACGACCGAAATGTTTTTGTCTGAACGCGCCTTTTACAGTCTAATCTTGTTTCTTTTCAAATTGCAGCGTGTTTATCTTACCATATTTATATTATATATATAATATATGAAGCTCATTAATGAAAAAATCGTTTTGTTTCTTATAGTAGTAGTATTAGTGGTAATTCCGGAATTAATCCATTTTCTGTCCTTTCTATTAAATCTAAAACTAGGCTGGTACATTCTCCCAAAAATAGACTTTTCACAAATCCATACTATGTAACACTATATGTAACACTTATCAGTTTTTTTAAATAATGTTTCATACGGGTTGCAATACAGACTGAGTTAATTCTTAGTCAACACTGAGCAATATGATTTGCCTCCAAGTTTTTCAATAATTTTTATCTTTTCCCGCCTTAAAGAGAGAACTTTTGAGACCTTGCTTCTGGCTGACTGGTTAGCAGTGACCTAGTGTAAACACCACCTGATTTCATCCATTCTCATAAAGGAAGCTAATTTGTCTCGCCTCAGTCATTTTTCTCTCTCGTCTGTGCATCCTTTCTTCATTAATATTTCAGAAAAGCAATCTACCGTCACTACAGCTTTGCTTAGTAATTTGTCACTTCCAGTCCACATCGCCAACAGTATAAGAATGTTCTGATAATAGCATTTGTCAGCTTTCCATGGAATAATTCTTTTTCAACCCAGCTCCTAGAAGTCTGAGAGCTGTGTTTCTTAACGTGTTACATGTACATGTAGATGTGCCCGCGTGCAGTTTTACCGTTAGTGTTACGCCAATATAAGCAACAAAAGGGTATTTTCTCTGGATATGAAGGACTTCATGATTGCCTGATTGTATATGTGTCAAGCAAGGTGTCATGTTGGAAGAATTCACAGTTTGGGCAGCGAATCAACATTATAATAGACGACCACAGCGTGGAAGTGATCAATACCTGGGTATATTCCGTCACTTGAAATCTACTGAATATTCTTTCCTTTTGTATCATATTAATTGACAGGTATATGACCTAATCAATGCTGAGTACTCTATTCTGCACGTATGCAAATGCAGTTGCATGGGCGACGCTTTTTGAATGCTCTAATAATTGCTGCAGCAAATTTATACCTTATGGCTTCTCATGAATATCTAATACTCTTTCGAGGCTGATGCAACGTGCGTAATCCATTCCATATTATGCTAACTGCCGACCACTGCAATATAGGTCAAACAACATGTAGCAAAATTGATAACAGCGTACATCAATCAAATAACTTGACTCTATGATGTGATTAATAATCAATTAATAATTATGAGAACTGTCTTGCCTTGGCAGAGGTCTGCGCTCTCCAACTGCGTCTCTTGTATGTAATAAACCTTTTTTATGGAATGTATGTCCTCAACATATTTTGATTTAGTACGCTTTATTCAAGCCTGGCCCGAAATAGGACATCACGTTTTCTCTTTGCTCAGCGCATAACGTAATCCAAGATTCCACGGTTTGTGTCAGATTTACGTATTACGTCAAAAAAAAAAAAAAAAAAGTCCACATAATGCTCATTTAAACAGTGTATTTGTCGACGCTCGGAAACTTCATGTTTTACGTGAAGTCTCCAACTCTTAACTCTCCGAACTCCATAGCTAGCCTCCCCTTCCTCTCGAGCGCTCTCTTTATATCTCACTTACTATAAGCATAACTGACGCGATAGATACAAACATTGTTTACTAGAATTGCAGAGTGAATTGCTTTACATCAGTGTTGTAAAAAGAAGTCGCCATGTTACTCAAGTACTCTTGGACGACAGCACGTTACATAATATGACCTCATAAAATATCTTTATTATCTTTATGTCAGATACGATATATAGAAACAATAAAATTCTTTACCTGCAACATTTCTGCAATCAAATCATTTCGTATAGTGGTGATCGGGTTAGTAATAAAATACGAATAAAATATCAGCATTTGACGGTCTGCACCTTAAACTTTCCAACCTTTTGATCATTCTCACTACCAGAACTCAGGAAACTATACTAGCCTTAGTCAAACTGCATTCAGGCAAGATAATATGATTTATTGATGATGGGAAATAAAAACGAAATAATTGCTTACTTTTCCACTAATCAGATCTAACTTTGAAGTCAAATTCTCCGAATAGCTATAGCGTGACATAATTTCCTCTGGTCAGTTCCATCTCTCCTGAGGCCAGTGACTCATATTGAATTTTTATACTTTAAACAACTGACAGTTGTAACACAATTACGGTAAAATAGTGCGTTTTAGAGGGCTCACCTGTCTTTGTGAAAGTATATATTAAACTAAGAGTATTATAATAGTATAATATACTTGTAGTAGTATTGGGGGCAATTGTTAATGTTTAATAAAATATTTTAAATTTGTTTTGATTATATTTGTTTCAATACAGGAACTGCTTGATATTATCAATATTGTTCTATATAGAGTTAGTATATACACATAAGGTACCACTCTAATTAAAGCTGCATAGTCATCGGGATGATAATAATGGTTTCACTCCACGTCTGTATCGAACAAGTATACATTAAATGACTTATTACCGTTTCTATCTTTCTTTCCTTACGAAGTTGGATATCGTAATAGGATCAAACAAACAGACAATACCGTGCTTATTTAAATTATCTCATTTGCGGATCATTATTCTAATGGCTTAGCATTAGCATTGGTTCTTTACTGGTAAATAGCGAGTATACCCTGATTGCATTAAGGTTTCCAAACACCAAAGATCCGATGGCAATTTATACGGGTATTGATTTTCCATTTCCCATTTACACGACATCGGAGCTCTTTATCACATTTGCCATAAATACGTATACGCCTGTTGGATTGGCATAAGGTCCATATGTTTTAAATGACAATTCTCTATTGATGAACATGATTATGGTTTGGAATTCATTGATCTGCCACCTAACGGTTGGTGTGGAGGGATCGATTGGACTGCCCTCTATCAACAGGTGGTAAAGATAAACGTTAATGTTTGATCTGTAGACTTAAGGTTTTTAACAGGCACTTGTTTGTAATATGTTAATAAGGCGACCATATGGGTGTTTTTATTATAAGTGACAGGTAGTATAATATGCTCGACAAGACCTACTTTTCTCAAAAAAATCCAATGTAATTTTATAGTGATTATACAAGCGTAAATAAAAATTACATGATTTCTTATGAACACACAATTGCATAACTTCTTGCGGAGAACACTGTACTTACTAAACAAAATTCAGTATGAAATTAAGTTCCTTTCAAAATAGTTAATTGACATGGTTTGAATTATGGACATTCCATAGTTGGCTGCAGTTGTACGCTGCGCTACCATCCAGCCACAGTGAAACAAAATGGATAAAAGAACAGCGCTATACAGCTGCGTTTATCTCCGGTACGTGACCTACCTGAGGCCCAGGACACCTCCCCCTGGGGCCGACTGGCAGTGGGTTAACACGAGACCACTGCCTAATGTATTGCTCACATTGACCTCAGAACGAACCGCAAATAACACCCCGGCATCTGACCAATTGCAATGAGGATGAAGCTACTAGATTATTTCACAAGTAGTATAATTGTAGCGTTCTAGTATTAAATTTGTTTAGTACTCTAGCATAATCCAGTATTCTTTCAACTCCCTTGCATTGTGCCATCTTTCCATACTATCTATATTTTGTGGAGTTATCTGTGATGCAGACGGCCTGGAAGTGTGCTATTTTGGTTCCGTCTTTTTTACATTGCTGGACGTATGCGCTATTCTCTTTAAGATTTGCATTACTTCCCAGAGGACTGAACAGTACCACTTGTTAGCGTGCTTGAACAATGATAAAACAACCATCGCTAGTCCTCTTTATACTGTGCCCAGTG